AGTTGGATGGTGATTTGACTTATGTTGTGCAGTCAGTGGCCATTTTGGATCGGCAGGTTCGAAAGTTGAGGTCAAAGAATATAGCTTCAGTGAAGGTGTAGTGGAGAGGTCAGCTAGTCGATGAGGCTACTTTGGAGAGTGAGCGGGAGATACGGAGCAGATATCCATGCCTATTTGAGACTCCAAGTATGATTCTAGACTCGTTCAAGAACGAACGTTTGTTTAAGAGGAGGAGGATGTAACGACCCGATCGGTCGTTTTGAGTGTTGTAGCCCCGTTCCCCCATTTATTGCCTATTCTGTGTTTGGTTGTTGTTATGTAACTTGCCAGGGTGGTTGGTTTGGTTCCGGGGATGTTTCGGAATGAATTGGGACACTTAGTACCAAGGTTGGAAGCCTAAGTGAAAGAGTTGACTGAATATTGACTATTGAGTAAATGGCTCGGGAATGGAGTTTTGATGGTTCCGAAGATCCATAGGGTGATTTTGGACTTAGGAGTGTATTCGTATATTGATTTGGAAGTCCGTAGGTGATTTTGGCTTGAAATGGCGAAAGTTGGAAAAATGGAAGTTTGGAGAGTTGAGAAGTTCGACCGAGAATTGACTTTGTAGTTACCGGGCTCGGATTTGGGTTCCGAACAATAGGTCCGTTGTGTCATTTATGAAATGTGTGCAAAATTTGAGGTCAATCGGAGTTGATTTGTTAGGTTTCGGCATAGATTGTAGAAGTTGGAAATTATTAGTTTCATTAGGCTTGAATTGGGGTGCGATTTGTGTTTTTGATGTTCTTTGATGTGATTTGAGGCCTCGACTAAGTTTCTATCGTGTTTTAGGACTTGTTGGTATGTTTGATTGAGGTCCCAGGGGCCTTGGGTTGATTTCGGATGGTTAACGGATTGAAATTTGGCTTGAAGAAATGCTAAAGTTTGTTGATGCATGTGTTTCTAGTTTCCTTATATGCGATCACGAGTGGAGGATCGCGATCGCGAAGAGTATTTTGGGCAGCTGGGATTTTTGTGCTATGCGTTCGCATGAAGGTGTTTGCGATCGCATAGCTTGGGAAGGAAGTGCATCGCGAACGCGTGAAGGGGGTCGCGTCCGCAAAGAAGGAAAGGAGGAGACTTAGGTTCACGCGAGTTGTTCTTCGCGATCGCGATGAAGGGGCATCTGGGCACAATATAAGAATTCAAAACGAGTGTTTGAGTTGTATTTCATAATTTAATTTTGGGAGTTTGGATTGAGGCTATTCTTAGAAGGATTTTTAAGGGATTGATTGGGGTAAATAATTCTAACTCGGATTTGGTTAATATACATGAATATATCATTGTTTTTATTATTTAATTAGTGTTTTGGGTTGAAAAAATTGGGAAAAATTGTAGAAACTTCATAGGCTTAAATTTGAATATTTAAAGGTCGAGTTGTAATCGAAATTGAGTAATTTTGGTATGGTTGGACTTGTGGTTGAATGGGTGTTCGGATTTTGTTGATTTTGCCAGATTCCGAGAAGTAGGTCCGGGGTTGACTTTTTGAGTTGACTTATTGACCTTAGTTAAAGATCGTAGCTTTATTAATTGGAAGCAATTCCTATAGCTTTTGTTGATAATATTACATTATTTTTGGCTAGATTCGATCCTTATGGTGGTCGATACGTGTGGGAAGGGCTTGCTAGCGGAGTGATTTGATTTGCTTGAAGTAAGTATCTTATTTAAACTCAATTGAGACACTAATTGCCTAAATTGTTGTGAAGCTACGTGTTATTGGGTGCGCACATGCTGCGCCATGTTGAGGCTACATAGAGGTTTAATCCCTGAACGAACATGATAAATGCTTTTCAGCGATGAAATTTCCGATTTGAGCTATGATAGCACACTTTGCACAGGCCTACACATTAGCATGTTATTTATACCAGTACAGGAGCATGAGAATTGTTATTCATTCATCACATACATGTATACTTGTTTAATTGCTCTTGTATGATATGTTTGGACTGGAGGCCAGTGACCATACCGGGCGGATTGTGTTATTGGAACGTGAGTTGTTCGTGCAGCACGTGAGTTGTCCATGCAGCACGTGAGTTGTCCGTGCGGGTTCTATTATTAGTACGTGAGTTGTCCGTGCAGGTTCTATTATTAGCACGTGAGTTGTCCATGCAGCACATGAGTTGTCTGTGCAGCGTATGGATACGGATCCATCCCCTTAGGGTCACCCTCTCATATTTCTCTCTTGATGGTGTACTCGCGGTTATTGAGAATACTTATCAATGCTTTGGAACAGATATGGAAAGTTGAGAGAATCCGGCCAGTGTTGTGTAGATTTTGCATTTCCTTGATCATTTATCCGATTTAACTGCTTATCACCTCTACATGCCATGATATTGTCTGAGCATAGTAATTGAGAAACTGTACACATACACACACGAATGTTTTCTCACGAAACTTGATGAGTTAGTTTTCAATATTGTTCTGTGCCGGTTTAAAAGACGGAACTACACAGGTGATAGCTAGTATCATTAATAATTTATGCTTCTCTTACTTTGCCATGTTTATTTACGATACTTATTGAGTATATTGGGTCGGTTGTACTCGTACTACACTCTGCACTTAGTGTGCAGATCCATGTACTTCCGGGCACGGAGGTTGCTAGTGTTGGAGCTTATTTAGTTTGGAGACTATCGAGGTAGATTCCTTGGCGTCCACAGACCTTGACTCTCCTCCTCTTTATTTTAGTTTCATTTATACTGTTCTACCTTCCTAGACAGTGTTTCAGCAGTCAGACCATGTTATTGTATAGATGCTCACGTACTCAATGACACCCGGATTTTAGGGAATTCCGTTTTGAGTTGTGGTGTTTTCTTCCAATTATTATGAGATTTGATTTACTTAAGCCTATTTCAGTATGTTTTAAATTAAATATGTCTGTTATTTGTGAGTTGTCGGCTTGCCTAGTATCGCGATAGGCGCCATCACGGCATATGTGATTTTGGGTCATGACAATTTTGTATTTCTCGCAATGAATGTTTTCAAATATTGGTGCTAAATATCACACCAATACATGCTAAGAGAACATGATAATCAATATTTACTCCTCTCCCCTTATGAAAAATTAATCTAAATGTGATATGTGTATAAATATGTATCCATACATAATATGTGTACAACTAAATATGATCAATATATAATCTATATATATACAACAACAACAATAACAACAACAACAACAACAACAACAACAACAAAAATAAGTATAATCCTATAAAGTGGGGTCTGGGGAGGGTAAAGTATACGCAGACCTTACCCTTACCTTACGAAGGTAGAAAGATTATTTTTAATAAACCCCCGGCTCAAGAAAAAAAAAACAAAAGGAAGCAGAAACAACAAGTGGTAACCACAGCAAGCAAAGGTGATATAATAATCGATGTGAAAGAAATGACATAAAGTAAAAGAAATTTGCGAATACGAAGAAAATAAAATGCGAGACTAATACTAATGAAAACAACATGAAAATGAGACGCCCCGANATTTGTAACCTCCCACTCCTCCTCACTGGGGCATCTATGCACCCCCTTTTCACATGCTCGTACCTTCTCAACCTAGCTTCCCTCATCTTGTCCTCCACGGTTGCCACTCCCACCTTTTTCGAAATATCAACATTCCTTATCTTATCTAATGGTATGCCCATACATCTATCTCAGCATCCTCATTTCTGCTACTTACATCTTTTGGACATAGATGTTCTTAACAGGCCAGCATTTTGCCCCATATAGCATAGTAAGTCTAACCACCACTCTACGGAAATTACCCTTAAGTCTTTTTGGCACCATCTAATCACTCAAAACCACAGAAGCAAGCCTCTATTTCATCCATCCCGCTCCAATACGATGTGTGACATCCTCGCCAATCTCATCATTACCTTAGATAATAGATCCTAGGTACTTGAAACTCTCCATCTTACGAATGACTTGTGAATCCAGCCTCACTTCCACATCCATATAATAAGTCACTTCGCTGAACTTGCATTCCAAGTACTTTGTTTTAGTCCTGCTCATCTTGAAACCTTTTAACTCCAAGTTTGTCTCCAAACCTCTAGCCTCGCGTTAACACCACCTCGCGTCTCATCAATTAGTACTATATAATCCGCAAATAACATGCACCATGGTACCTCCTCTTGAATGTGCTGCATCAGAACATCTATCACCAAGTCAAATAAAAACGAGCTAAGCACGGATCCCTGATGCAAGCTCATCCCGAAAGGGAAGTGTTCTAACTCTCCTCCCACCATCCTAACCTGGGTCTTAACGCCATCGTATATATCCTGGATCACCCTCGTATATGCTACGGGCACACCTCTCACCTTCAAACACCTCCAAAGAACTTTCTCATAAGCTTTCTCTAGGTCAATGAATACCATGTGCTAGTCTTTCTTTCTATCCCTATACTGATCCACCAGTCTCCTAATAAGGTGAATGGATTTAGTAGTCGATCGCCCATGCATGAACCCGAATTGGTTCTCGAAAATAGATACACTACTCCCCACCCTAACTTCAACCACCATATCTCAAACTTTCATGTTGTGACTTAGCAGCTTAATGCCCCTATAATTGTTGTAATTTTGGATATCCCCCTTATTCTTATACAATGGAATCATCGTACTCCACCTCCATTCTTCAGGCATCTTCATCATCTTAAAGATAACATTGAATAACCTAGTAAGTCATTCCAAACCTGCTCTGTTTGCAGTCTTCCAAAATTCTACAGGGATCTCATCTGGCCCGGTTCCTCTACCTCTGTTCATCTTATGCATATCCCCCATAACCTCTTCAACCTTGATACACCTACAATACCGAAATTCACGGGGACTCTGAGAGAACCTCAAGTCCCCCATCATGATGTCCTATTCCTCTCATTATTCAAGAGTTCATGAGAGTACGTCTGTCATCTACGTCTAATAAGTGCGCCATCCACCAATATATTGTCATCTGTGTCTTTGATGCACTTCACTTGGTCTAGGTCACGATCCTCCTCTTCCTCTCCTTGGCTAGCATGTGTAGCTTCTTGTCCCTGCCTTTGGCCCCCAGTTCTTCATACAACCATCCAAATGTTGCATTCTTAGCCTCCGTAACGGTTAACTTTGCCTCCTTCTTAGCTTTCTTATACAATTCCCTATTCATACTCCTCTCCTCCGCATCTTTGCTTTCTACTAGCTTCAAATATACTGCTTTCTTGGCTTTCACTTTTTTCTGGACTTGTCCATTCCACCACCAGTCTTCTTTGTGTCCATTAGGGTGACCCTTCAAGACCCCTAGCACCTCTGTATCAGCTTCCAAAATGCAATTCGCTGTCGAGGTCCACATATTACTCGTGTCCCCACTACTCCTCTAGGCCCCCACTGTTTGCAATATCTACCCTGATTGTAGGGCGATATCCTTAGTCAAGGCTCCCTACTTGATCTTTGGTTGGCCACACGCGACCCTCTTATTCCTCCTCCTCTGAATTTCTAAGTTCATAACCAAGAGCCTATGTTAGGTTACTATATTCTCGCTCGGGATAACCTTGCAATCTGAGCATAGACCTCTATCACACCTTCTGAAGAGAAGATAATCAATGTGGGTCTTGGCCACTATACTATGGAAGGTGACCAAATACTCCTCCCTTTTGTTAAGTGAAAACACAAGTTAGCTATAACCAAATCAAAACACTAGCGAAATCCAAAAGCGAAGTACATCCTTCATTTATATATCCAAAATTGAAGCTGACATGCACTTCGTCGTAATCGCTAGCAGATGCCCCAGTATAGCCATTAAAAATCTACACCTATGAACAGCTTGTTGGAGTGTAGGACACCTCGCAAAACCTCGTCCAAATCCTCCCATAAGTGCCTTTTAACCTCCTCGCCCAAGTCCGCATGAGGTGTATAAGCACTCATAACATGAACATTCTGCCCTCCAACGACTAGCTTAATAGCCATCAACCTATCATTCACTCATCTCACATTTATCACTAACTCCCTGATTTCTCTATCAACCAAAATACTTACCTCGTTCCTACCCTTTACACCTCCTGAGTACCATAGTTTAAACTCATCTACATCTCGAGCCTTAGTACCCACTCATCTAGTCTCCTGGACAAAGACTGTATTGATTTTCCTCTTCAGGAGAATCTTAGCTAACTCATTAGATTTTTCTGTCAATGTCCCTATGTTCCAGGACCCGAATTCAACTTAAAAGTACCCTTACCCCCCTTCGGCCCACCACCGCCCCACCCGAGAACACGAAGAAAAAGTAAAATTTGAATCCGGCCTACTATTTGTAAACATTGATTTATGTACAAGAGTTCGTAATGTGAATTCGACTCTGATTTTTGTTTTTGTTTTCATCATTAAGAATGATTAATAGAAGTAAGATTTTAAAGAAGAGAAAAAAATACTATTGAAATTTATTATTTAAAAATGTCATAATGTTTGTATGATTATAAAATTTATCATTAAGGATAAAATAAAATTTTAAATTATTTCAAATCTAGAAACAATTTTTTGAAATAGGCTAAAAAAAGTAATGGTCACATGAATTGAAACAAAATAATTACCTTGGTTCAAGGTGAAAAAGACCCCCTCCCTAGCCAACCTTTCTGTTTTTTTTCACTTTGGTTAAAAGACATCAAACTAAATCAACAAATTGTATATTTATATCTCATTTCCAAACTAATTAAGTTTAACTTTATAAATTTTCTATATGCTTTTGTTCTAATCAAAATTAATCTATTTTAATGTACTAAATATTTATTTTTTCAAAGCACAAATGAAAAACAAATTCCACTATCTTTTAAGGAATTTTTCTCTTATAAAGTGGACGTTATTGAACCTAGTAAGATAATTAGCATACATTAAGTTGACTTTTACATGAGATATCTTATATATATATATATATATATATATATACTTACGCTATACTATGCACTAAG